CCCTAAACCCTAAACCCTACAGCCGCCCCATAAGTTTAGTTACCAGCCTTGTACATCTTACTTTAGGTCCGGGGAGAACAACCTAAGTAGTCTAACTTGGTGCTATCCTTGTAAACTGTAAGCCCGTCCATTTCGTGAAGGAGATACTGCTTCCAGGCAACCCTGAACCCTGAAGTGGGTGTTCAGCAGGGAACATCCACGCTGACCTACATTGTATGTTCACAAGGGCAAAGCTGAACTCGCTGCAAGCCATGAACCCTAAGCTGGGCTGCTGCTAGGGAACTTAGTTTAAGATACTGTCAGAAGGAAACCCCCATTATTCACTGAAATTCACTGTCTACCCATATTGTGGTAACTTAAGTTCCCTAATTTCCTGCAACCCAGTAAGAGTAAGAGGTCTATCCTGGTAAACTTCGACCTGATACCCTTAAAGCCCTTACCCCCAAGACATGCCAAAAACTCTTGACGACCACAACGCAAACCACAAACGGATCGCGATTTGGGTCAATCTACACTTACCGCCCCTTAAGGTTTATCATTCACACTTGGAGGGTCGAGGCGACTCAGTAAGTAGGTTAAACAAACCTTCAAACCTGCATAGTAACCCTAGCTATCCCCCTTAACCTACATACCATGTCCCCTGACCCTCCAAGTAGGTGCTCCTCCAGGGAAGATAGATACTGTTGATATGAAAAATATTTAGGGTCATGCAGGATTTTTAGTATCCACCGTAGTTTCTGGAAGGCTGGCGTCGTGTGAGGAGTTCAGCGCTAGAAGACGAAAAAGTCAGGCGTGATACGTTTGACAGGATGTTTGCACGGACCCTTGCAGCTTACAGTAATGGCCCTTACATATGGAGTTACTAGGGCCTGAATGTCCCTGCAATAGTCCTTTGTGATACACATTTCTGGCTGGGAAATGGGTTGCAGAACGTGGCGCAAGACTTTCTCCCTAAACCCTAAACCCTAAACCCTGAAACCCTAAACCGCGTGTTACAGTATCTTGGCTTCTCGGCTTACTGCATAATGGACAACTCATAGCGAGGCAGAGGATAAGCATTTCAATGCTAAAGCCATGCTGCCACAACGAATATGGGGGTTTCCCAAAGTTAGGGGTACCTTTTTAGGGGTCCCAATAACAAGGATTATAATATTTTTGGGGTCTATATTTGGGGTCCCCTTATTTTGGGAAGCTACCATATTCACTACGGAGGGTGCGCATAGCGTCTAGCATGATAATCACACGGTTTAGGGTTTAGGGTGCTCGAAGGTACAATTTTCAGAGGGACTGTTTAGAGTTATGGGGCCGCGAAACCACAATCATACCCATGCCCCAAATGTCCCCAAAAGCCTTTCTCCCGGAACCGCCAACACAGCTCGCTGCAGCTCTGATCCCAGAGAACCCTGACCCCTACACCCCAAATCCGAAACTGTAAATGCTAAACCCTGAAGTCTACAAACCCCGAAACCTAAGGCCTAAACCCGAAATCCTATAGATCCTGAACCCTGGCCCTAAACCCTAACCCTAAACCCTAAACCCTGGAATCCTTAAATCTGAACCCTAACCCCTACACGCACATCTATCAACCATAGCTCTCCTCCATCAAGCCCTCAACCCTGCGCCTTCAACTTTACAAGGCCATGGACCCTTGCACAATGGGTTTAGGAGTTTTTTGTACAACTCAGTTGCTGAACTCTTAACGCTGGATTTCAGGTATCCAAACAGCGCACTCCTTTCAGGCAAGCATATCTAGAACAAGCATGGAAGATTTGTCGCACAATGGCCAGCAATCCTGCGTTGAGTTTATGGCGGAAGGACCCTTGACAAGGCCCAAGGTCCAAAACATAGGCAGGCCCCTAGTTAAGATCAATTTCGCAGTCGGTCAAAAGATGAGCAAGTGTTGTTCTTTTCTACAAGCAATAAAGTAAAGCTATGGGATTTGACGGTGAAGGTCTGTAGCTATGGGCCACCACCTTGTCTGTGCCTAACGCCCAACAATGGGTTTAGGGTTTAGGGTGTTCCATTCTTAACACTACACCCGATCCTTAACCTACACTTGCTTCCATTTTTACATTTCTTCATGCCCTACTAGCAAGATACCACTCAAAGTCCCTAATGATCCTCATTTAACTATAAAACCCTATACAACACCAGATAGTCAACTCTTAAATGAACTCTAGCTAACCCTACTAACACCAAGCAAGAATAAACCCCTAAACCGTGAACCCTATATCCTAAACCCTAAATCCATAATCCTCAGCCATGACTCCTAAACCCTAAATCCTAAGCTCTAAATCCTAAACACGAAATCAACAACTGGTCCGAGACACCTCCCATCCCCCTGCGCAGTGATCCCATCAACGAAGCCAGCTCAAGCCTTGATAGAACAGAGTTTGGGATTTAGGGCTTAGGATGTAGAATATAGAGTCTAGGGTTTAGGGTTCAGGATTTTTTGTTCGCACCTTTTCTCCAGGGACAGCATCCCGGCGCTGAAAATGCCTTTACAGCATGGCGCTGTCCTGCGCTAGGCACACAGACCCCGAGGCAACCTTTCTCCAAGCCCTAAACCCTACACCTTAAAAAGGGTCCCTGAAGAAAGAACACACAGAAGTCCTAGGATCCCAAAAAACGGAAGCCCTACATTTACAACAGCCAACTTCGTAAGATAGCTCGCTTGGTCCCCGGGTTTAGGGCTTGGGATTTGGGGTTTTGGGTTCAGGATTTAGACTTCGGGCTTTAGCTTTGGGGTTTAAGGGTTGTTTACTTTGCGGGACCCTGAGTTGCACAAAGGGGTTATGGTATACCGCCCGATTCCGGGGTCCCTCAGAGATTTAGGGTTACAGTAGGAAACTATCACTAACCTAGGAAGAAGCACTCACGATGAAACTGGCTTCTGGTGCCAGGCTTTTGGCACTTATTCATTGGGGATCGTGGGCTTAGGGTTTTGCGTGTCAATGGCATACTACGTCTACCAGAGAGCACCGGTCAACATGTGGTGACCACTGTGGTTTTCTTCGACTTCTGATAAAGCTACCAGTATGCAAGGAACGTTTTGGCGGCCAAAATATCAGCGCAAACCCCGCGCTTTTAGAAAGGCCGGGCAGCAAGCTTCCTTGAAATTGCTCGGCATGTGCTTCCATCTGCTGTTGGATGACATCGCGAACTTGATGCCATAGATCGTCACGAAGAACTTTGGCAATTTCCTGAATTGCCCTAAAACCCTAAACCCTTCAAATGTTAGGCCGCGGGCTTTTTGGGCTGAGGAGGTGTCCAAGAGCTTTCCCTCGCCCTGGCACGAAATATCGGTGTGGCATGCGAAGTCTAGCACCCCATACACACGTAACAGCTCAAACGAGTAAGATGCAACAACACGAAAACTAACTAGAATGCAACTACTACGTAACAACTGTAACAACAACAACAACAACAACAACAACAACAACAAGCAAGCAGAAAAACACGCACTCAAACAACGAAACTATCCAGCTGTCTCCAAGGCTCCCTGGCACGGTAGAGCGCAATTTTGCCTTGGTATTCCAGTAACCATATGAGCCATTGACTAAACTCGAAGTATGCCCCTTAGTAAGCCTTCAAATACGCTATATAACCTTGAAGGAGTTTAGACACTGCCCATATTACAATAAGCGTGCCATTCTTCTTGTTGGCTACTGTTATAAGGAATCCAGAACCAAAAAGGGCAAAAGGGTACCAGTGGGCTTCCTAGTAGCCATCTCTACCCGGGCGGCACAAATCTTCCAAGCTGAGCCTCTCAGCGAGGAACATGCAAAGCCGTCCTTCCGCTGGCCTTTATCTGCCCCGGGACCATCAACAAATGGGGCTTTCCGAAACGCGGAAGTACAATTTAGGAGGCCCAACGATCAGGAATATAGTGCGTGCGAGTCTCTAAGAAAGGTCCCCTATTTATGGAAGCTACCAAAAATTCTATAAATTTTAGTTTTTCTTGGGAGTTTAAAGCAGACAGATTCTCTTGTTCAAAGCAAAACATGTTGAGTAAATCCCCAGTGGCTCCTCGCAATCACCTGTGACACGAACCCCTTCCAGCACGTGAAGAAGTAGGTTGAATCCAGACCAACACCATCGAGGAAGGCCCTTGTTGATGAGGGCAACCATGAGATCTGATCCAAGCCCGATAGAGAGTCGTCCTGGATGGTAACGGCCTCCAATGTTTTGAGCTACGAGCTGAAAGAGGTCGTTCTTGACGGTCTCGCTGGGCAACGCGAAGGTGTGCTCCACAGTCTCAACGCGTAACCTATCGCTGATCAGACGGATGGTTGCGCCGGCGAAGCTTCTGTGAAGAATGTCCTCAAGATCTTCACCTGGCATGTGCCCATCGTAGAAGTCATTCTTGAGACGGCGTCTCCTGTCTTCCTCAGACTCCTGGCGGCCACGGTAGAGCCGATACTCTTTACGGAACACGTCTTCTGCATCATGAAGTGCACAAAGCAGGGCCAAGCAGCGGCTGAGGAAGGACTTCCCGGGAGGGCTCTCGATATCATTGACGCAATCGCAAGGAAGACTTAGCACTGCGGAAGCCCAAGCGTCCAGTACTTTTTGGCAATACTTAATGCCGTTGTGCTTGGAGACCTGGAACCTTGGCTCCCCAGTATTCGAGGAAGAAGGTTTTAGGGGGTTTGGCCTACAGACTAGCTCAGAAGGAACCTAGGACACCCAAAAGAGCGCCATCAGAAAGTATGAAGGATCCCTCACTAATATCCTTATAATATCCCTATATGACCCCTATATCCCCCTTTTAACAACCCCCAACATTGATCAAGTTGAGGGGAACCCTAGAAACCTTAGGGTTTAGGGTAGGGAGCCCTTGTCGTAGCTTCCATTCCATTCCCACTCCCTCCCCCCAATTTTTCTGTATCCCACGTATGGCCCAGGGACGCGTAGGTCATGAGGAGCTCTGGGTTCATAAGTTGGCAGACATCTTTGTAGAAGAACACCAATTCCTAGGCTACTGCGAAGGCCCAAATAGTTTGGTAGTTTCCCTGAATAGGGGACCCCAGTATAGACCCAACAATACTATAGTCCTTATGATGAGGACCCCAAGAAGGTAACCCAAATTTGGGGAAAGTTCCTTTTAGGGTCAGAGGTTTGGGCTTCAGGCTTCGCGTCTGGGGTGTCGGGTTTAGGGCCTATCGGATTTTGAGCTTGTCTGAAATACACTGTACTAGGCATACAAAGAAGCTAGGACCGTAATATTGGAAACCATTTGGGCTTGTACCATAATTACTGTAATCCAAAGTTGTCATACTATGTAAAAAAAACAGATGTACTTATCTGCCACATAACATGCACATATACAGGTACATTTTCCAGGAAAAGGCTTTTCAATCGGAAGCCTTGAACAGGCTCTTGCACCCTAGACTAACCATAGGAGCCTCAAGTGCTGAGCCCTGAACACAGACCTCGAACCGAACGGCCTGAACAAAAAACCAGGCTCATCGCCGGAGAGGACATCTTTCGGATCCAGTGAAAGCGCATCTACCAGGACATACTGAAGCGCGCCTCTGTCTCTAAACCCTAGACCCCTAACCCTAAACCCTCTGACACAGCGGGAAGGCTAGGTTTTAGGGTTTTGGGTTTCGTGGCTCAGCGTCCAATGTTTACAGCTACCGACAGCCGCGGAGGCCCAAAGTTATTGTCATGAACTAATGCTGCGGAGCAAGGGGGACCCTAAATGCGTTGTGCTTCTGTGGACACACTGTGCTTCGCAGGCAAACTCAGGCCCTAAAGGGCTGAAAATCTTGGGCCTCAGGACATTCCAATCATTTCGACATGGTAGCTTTCAAGCGAGAAGTCAATGAACTTCTTCTAGAGCCCTCGGCATGCATACCTACCGCTATGGCACTTGCTTCATTCTAGCTACTAGTTTGTGTCTAGATTTAATTGCACACCTTCTGCTAGATTGCACTTGAGGGGTAGTAGTGGCGTTCCATGTTGTGAGGGTTATGTGTGGTGTTGCCTCCTTCACTATTTCCAAAAGTGGGGGAATATTGCTATAGCGATCCTGAACTCTCAACCCGTAGAAACCCAAATCCACCATAGCCCTAAACCCTAAACCCTCAATCCTAAGCCCTAAACCCTAAATCCTAAGCCCTTGACCCCCAAAGTCTCATCTTAGCCTGCGTCCAACCAAGCCCAGTTGATCAGATCTTCGTCCTGCAGGCTTCAGAAGAAAATTGTTGAGACAGACATGGGTTGTTCTTAAAATTATGGGCCCTT